CTTGTCCTGTGGATCCCATAACTTAAAGCCTTTAACTCCATCTCTAAATCCCACAAAGACTGCTTTCCTCGCCCTCGGATTCAATTTACCATCACTGATATGGTAATAAGAAGGACATCCAAATATCTGAAGCGACTCATAGTCACTAGCTACCGAACCAGACCAACGCTCCAATGGAGTCTTCTTCCGTATCGCAGTGCACGGCAACCTATTCACGAGATGGCTCACATAAACTAACGTCTCAGCCCAAAAGGATCTAGGCAATCCACTCTGCGTCATCATACATCGCACCTTCTCCAGCAAGGTACAGTTCAATCTCTCAGCCACCCCGTTCTGTTGTAGTGTCTCTCGAACTGTGAAGTGTCACATAATGTCGTGATCCCGACAAAACTGCAGAAACGAATCATTCTTATACTCTTCACCGTTATCTGAACGTAGAGTCTTCACCTTTCTACCTGTCTGCAGCTCCATTTTCTTTTTCCACTCCACAAAAATATCCAAAACCTCATGTTTATGCTTCATAGGGCATACCCAATTCCTCCTGGAATAGTTATCAATCAAAGTGATAAAATAGTTGGCCCCACCAAGTGATCTGTTCTTAGAAGGACCCCAAATATCTGTGTAAATGTAATCTAATGTATCTTGGGTATTGTGAATAACGGTGCCAAACTTTACTCTAGTCTTATTTCCAAGTACACAATGCTCACACAGCTCCATTTTGCAGGTCTTAGCACCTTTCAATAGCCCATGTTTTGTCAATGACTGCAGGGACTTATCTCCTGTATGTCCTAGTCTCATGTGCCATAATATGATAGTGTCCTCCTCTGTAGTGATAGAAGTTGTCAGACCCCCTGTAACTGTCTTGCCCTTCAAGTAGTATAGGAAGTTTTCCCTGACTCCTCGCATCACCACCATAGAACCCTTCGTGACCTTCGTTGTAGCATCCTCTAAGGTCATCCGATAACCAACTGCCTCCAAAGTACCAAGAGAAATGGTGTTCTTCGTCAACTACGGCACGAACCTCACTTTTTTCAATTCCCTCACCACTCTGGCATGCATCCTAATCCGAACTGAACCAATACCATCAATAGGGCATACGTGGTCATTTCCCATAAGCACGACATCCCCTCTTTCTAGCTCTTCAAAGCTAGAGAACCAATCCCTCCTAGGGCATTTGTGATATGTGGCTCCTGAATCCAACATCCACTCCGTGGAGTCGGCATAGAAAACCAACGATAGTGCAGGGCACGAATAGCCCGAAGAATCTGACTCTGAATGTTCATCAATAGCTTTTGCAACATTCACTTCTGAAGCTTGTACAGCTTTCCCCTTGTTCTTTCCGGCTTTTTCCTTCCACTTTGGGTAGTCAATCTTCCAATGTCTTTCTTCTTTACAATACCGACATTGATTTCTACCAATTCAATATGCTTAGACAAGTCATGAATTCATGATACATATTACATATGCACAAACCATCCTTCATTTTACCTCTTGCTAGATAACTTTCTGACTGCTTTGGTTTGTACGCTAGTGGAGAACCCAGATGTTCCACCCCTGCTTGCAAGCACACTGAAATCTAGTGATCTTCCATAGATAAAGTTTCTATTGACCAACTTGCCTATCCATTTATTTAGTTCTTTTTTACCATTTTACCAGGCATTATTGTTTATGTTCATCTTTCTGCTGCTACATAGTGATTATGTTGTACTTAACGGTTATGTAGTCGTTTTAGACTTATGAGGCTATGTGGCCTTACTTCTATGAATATGAGTTTATGACATTGTTATTAGACCCAGTGATGCGTCCATGTTGGAAGCAGTGGGGGCATGTGCCCCCACACAAGTTTTAATTTTTGTAAGGAATTGTTATACAATTCTAGTGGTGCCCCATAGAAATTTTATGGGTGTCCCCTTGGACCAAGCGCATTGAACCCAAGTCTTACTATTACCCAGTAAGCCCATTGCTCACACCCAATCCCACACCAATTAAAACTTATATTTCTTAAGTATCAATTTATAAGGTCTTTTCGTATCTCCCTCACTTCCATATCACAAAAAATTTGACGAAAGAAAGACCCACTAAAATAATTTTTTTTGCTCTCCTCCTCTTCGACTGCTCGCCTCCTTTGCCTCTTCTATTGTCACCTGAGTCCTGCGCCTCTTCCACCGCCTTCCTTTTCTACACCTCCTTCGTCTTTTTCAATTTCTTATGAACCTCTTCTCTAATTTGGAGCCTTCCCTCCTTGCCAATAATTATGAAGGGCTATCCCTAGTACTAAGTAGTATTCTGTTAGTTTTAATCATAATTGTGTGATTCCCTAGACTCCCCTCTAACTGTCGTACAAGTCCTGTTGACCGATTCCCAATACATTTACAAAACGATTCCATCCAATACACGAATTAATTCTCCAAAATTGGCGTATCACTTACAAGTATGTGGGGTGCAAAGTACCTTTAAGTGCATACACGCAAGACGCAACAAAATGTTATGCAATCAAGTGCAGGGAGATGCACAATAGAATATGTGAGCCAATGACTTTACTGTAACTAAATACTTATGTTAATAAAATGTGAAATAAAATCAAGATCCTAACATGAACCATGTGAAAAACAAAACATAACATAGAAATGAATTCCATAAAGATGAAATAATTAAGTACTTTGAAAAAATATTGAAATGCATAATCAGTTTTCTAGTTTCTATTTTTCTATTATGTACTTTGAAAAACTTTAAGTGCATCTAAGAAAAATTACGACATACCACTAATCGAAATTGCGTATAGAAGCAAGCTACACCCATCGAATCTAAATTTTCTAAGTGGCAAATTGTATACCCGAATTTGTATTGTGATCCGCTACGTACCGCGTACTATCTATATATGGTTTTGATTATGTAAATGAATTTATAAAAATGATAACAAAAAGTTATGTTTTGAGATCTTTGTGATCATTGTATATATAAGTTTTTCCAATAGTAGAACATATGTTGTATAAATTATTAATTTATATATATAATTGAATATGTGCCCTACAATACAATTTTTCTAGATCCGCCCCTGATCAGAGTCGTGATATCTTTTATGTTATTCGTTATATGTGAAACTTGTTGATATTTGTTAAGTATCTTGCTTCTGCTATGTATTTATACTGAATATTTGCTTATTGCATATATCAGTTCCTTGTATTTGCTTTTATGTGTGATTCTATTCTATGTATAGTGAATGAGATGTATGTACTGATCATTGTCATAGGTTTAAGTATATGATTTTGGGTGGTGTTTGGCTCGATTGTATATGCTGCCTAGTCTAGTCACGTGCCCGTTAGGTGCTTCTAGAACTCAGGGCATGACATTAGGGATATTAGTATCTTAAATCATCATTAATTGCTAAATAGTCCCTCAAATCTTAATATTTGCTTATTAGTCCCTCAAATCTTTATTTTTCTTTCAAATTCATCCCTCTTGTTAGGTGTTATTTGTGAGAGTGAACTTTTGTTAACTTTAATGGAATTAGATGGTTTTCTCATTATACCTCATGCCATGGTTAATCCTATGATTTAAAACATTATCAACCTACTATTACTGCTACTACAAAAAAAAAGACCAACCTGTTACATAAGGGGTTCATACTTACAACCTGCTCCAACTAAAATTCAAACCGACCAACTTCTTTCTTTCTAGCGGCCAAGAGCTTATCCAAACAGAATCCGGAGCTCTTTACAATAGTTATATTCTCAATTAGAGTAAGAGAAAACCCCATACGGAAAACTCAAGGGTACAGGATTGATAAGCAAATAGTGTGATTTGAAGGACTATTCAATAGTTAAGGATAATGTAAGGGACTAATATGCAAATACCCCTTTATCTTTAGTTTTTTTCTTTTTCTGTCACTATTTTGTAGGGCTTTGATTATTTATCGAAATATTTTTCACTTGAGCTATATATTTTACAGCCCTTTCATCGCAATTTCACTAGCTCCCTTACTTGAAAAAAATGAAAGAAGAATATACGCGAAAACAAAATCCAAATGCCTTTCATCGTCATCTCACTGGTTCTCTTTAGTTGGAAAAAAATAAAAAAGAATATACGTGGAAACCACATTCAAATTGTAAAAGAGAGAAATATTAATTTGCCCCTATAAAAAATAATAAAATAAAAAAACCCGCCCACCAACCCAAAAAAAGAGAAAGAAATCCAGCCATGAGACGGTTTCAAGCCCAGGTTAACATTTCCAGACGATCTCCATTCGAAAGTTGTTACTTCGAGGCTTACGCAAAAATAAAAAGGCTACTTGTTTCTTCAACAATGCCCACATTCGTTTATTTTTCAAGAGCCCAAGCCCATAAAGGGATAGGTTTATATTCGTTCGCCTTTGGAAATTGCTTTCTTTTCAAATTTTCTTTTTTAGATTAGGTAGTGCGAGAAACGTGCATTTCGCTGTTGCAAATTTATTTGTTTGATATTTTGTTGTTTCCTTTGTCCTAACTTGATGAAAAATTTATGAATAAATCTCCACCGCATAGCAAAATTATGGCTATCACCAGGGGAGGATCTACATACAGTCCAGGGGGGGCCACGGCCCCCCAAAATTTGGGGAAAAAATTAGGGTGCTCTATTCCTCAAGCCCCTTCAAAAAAAAATTTTTTTTTTTGGGGGGGGGGGGGGGAATTAGGGTGCTCTATTCCTAATTTGGGGAAAAAATTAGTTTGTGAATATTAATTATTTGAGGGGTTTTATGTATATATTAATAGTAAATACATTACCATGAGCAGCAACAAGAATTATAAAGGGGGTTTCATTGAAATTGGAAATTTATGAAGAGGTATTTAGCGAATGGTTATTCTTAAGGGGTTTATTATAAAGGGGTTATTCTAAGGGATTAATAAAGGAGGTTTCATTGAAATAGGAAAAGATAATGTATCTTCACTCATCGTAATCTGAAAAGGCATGTGAGGATTTGATGAACCAACCGCAACATATATCAAGGCGATTCGACAACTTCAATGTTGAACAAGTTGCAAACAAATCGTCTTCGGTTAAGAGCTCACGTACTTGTGGTGCGATTGCTTGCACTTCAAGGGATTCCGTTTAGAGGCCACGATGAGAAATCTAGTTCGTCCAATCGTGGCAATTTCTTGAATTTTGAATGTGCTGGCCATGGAGAATGACGAATTTTCAAAGGCAATTGCGAAAGCTCCAAAAATGCCAAATATACAACTCATGATATTCAAAAACAAATACTTCATGTGTTTTCAGTGAGATTGAAAAATGTAATTCGTGAAGAAATTGGAGTTGCCAAGTATTGCATTATTGTTGATGAAGCCGTGATGAGTCAAAAAAAGAGCAAATGTCTATTTGTGTTGCGGTTTGTGGACACTAATGGATTCATTCAAGAAAAGAGCATTATTGTCAAGTTTTATGCACAAGATTTTACAAGTGAAGAAAAAGAGAGTTTGAAGATGCAACTGAAACATTATGAGCATAATGTAGTCAAAGGCTGGTCAGACTTCAAAAACTCTTTCAACGCAATTTCTGAGTTGGGTCAATGGTTGGTAAAGACTAATAAATCTGCTACATACGACCTCATTTTTAGAGTGATCGTACTTGTGCTTACTCTTCCAGTTTCTACTGCTACTGCAGAACGATCATTCTCAGCTATGAATATCGTCAAGACTAGACTTCGAAGCAAAATGGAGGATGCTTTCCTCTCCGACGCATTAATGGTGTTTATTGAAAGAGAAATTGCTAAAAGTCTGAGCATTGATGATATCATTGAAGACTTTAAAAATTTTAAGGAACGTCGAATTCCTTTTAGTTAGAGAAATTTTAGTTATAAAAAAATAGATGATGCTTATTTGACTATTTTCTATATAATATTTGTCTTCCTCTTTTGAAATATTTTGAAGATATTAATGTTGGCTATTCTACTCGTTTTATTTAGGTTGTGGTATATCTCTTGTGAATAAAATTACATTAAGAAATTTTTTTATCTATCTTTTGTACGTGGCCCCCCCAGAACTAAAATCCTGGATCCGCCCCTGGCTATCACTCGAAAACTGAGGATTGTTGCAAGCTAAACCAAGAACAGTTGCATATATAACCACATCCACTATAATTTAAGCTTATGCTACTAGAAAACAAAATATTCCCATAAAAAGTTCATAGATCAGAAAAATTCTACGCAAAGAGAAAGAGGGGTTAAAAAAGGTATTATTTTTATAAGTTACAACACTAACCCAAGGAGCCAAAAAAACGTCCTTAAGGCCCCGTTTGGCAAAGGGTTAATGAAGAGGGGTTAAAGAGAATGATTAATGTACTTAGCCCATTTGATAATCCGAAAGACTAAATTATTAACCCGTTAAATAAGTTTTATTTTAGCCCTTATGATCAGTTTTAGTGTTTGGGAATAACAATGATTTTGACTATTTTCTTTATAATTAGAAGGGTTAACTCTTATTCCATCTAAATAGGAGTATTAGTAAACCCCTCATTTTGAGGGGTTAACTCATTTTAACCCCTCTAGAGGGGTTAACTTAACCCTTCTATATTTTTTATGTTTGGCAAATTATGAAGGGTTAACTCACTTGAACCCTTATATAGATTTGTTGTGTTTGGCAGGTTAAGAAAGGGTTAAGTCTCCTTAACCCCTCACTTAACCCTTTGCCAAACGGTACCTAAAAAGACGAATATACAAGCATTATAAAAGATGCATTCTTTCTCACATTATATTTAGTTCTATCGCAAATTCGCTATAATCTCTTATCCAACCTTAGCGTACATAGAATAGGATCACAAATTCTTCAGAACTAATATCATATGCATCCTAAATTATAGCTTAACCAACAATGGGTACTTAACTATATTCATTGCGATAGAAGCACATCAAATGTCCGGATAAAATGTTCACAACATACAAAAAAATGAACAAAGAGAAAAAAAAAAAGCAATTAAGGTTTGCAATAGAGAATTGCATTATTATTATATAAATTACACCATAAAACCAAGTTCCTTGAAGAACAAATATACAAGCAAAACAAATATAAATCCCTTCTCATATACTTTCACCACCATAATCTCTAACCTCAGAGTACATCCGTATGGGACTAAAACTGGGGTGACGAAGCCACAGTCTCAAAAGACTGCCTCCTCACCAAAAGGCAAGTAACTTTAGAAGGGCAAGCATGAGTATTATCAAGAGTACACAACACAAAGTCCGGCCTATGTAGCGCCAAGCTCAGCCGATCCTCGCCCACCACGAGCGCTGTCGCATCTAAAAGCACATGCCACAAGTTACGGTGCGCCTCTGACACCCAGTGCATCGAATACCGTGTTCCCCTCACCTCCACCGGATACGAGAACAACCCTTTAGGGCTGTGCTTGCACTTCCTCCTGAAATACTGACTCAGCTGAGACCCTTTGATTCTTAGATCAAGCCATGTCTCTGGCGCTGAAATTACCTTAGATTCTTTATATGACGCGAATTCTCTGATGGCGTCTACTTCTTCATCGAGGATTGACATGTAGTAATTGTAACGAAAAAACGGGTAGCTTTCACCTACTAGCATCATTGCATCCTTATAGCTCGGTACAAATAAAACGAGGTAGTCCTCTTCGGTTAAGCCACAATGTTTTAAAACACGGTTTCTTGCCTGTATCTCTGGTATAGAGATGAAACTACCAGGAAATGAACATTTCTTGGTGAGAATGTCTAGGAGTCTTGAAGGCTCCAGTTGAGTTCTGTCGAGGTCTGGGTGATTGCTGCCGATAGAGGAGGGGGAGGACGAAACACTATTGAGCCCTCGAGGGGATCTCCGTCTATCCTCAGGGTTTTGAGGGGAGTTGTTAATGTAATTGTACAGATCATTTTTGTCAGCTTCATCATCTATGAGGCCATGAGAGTACTGAGGATATTTTGCAAGAACATATTGTTCGACGTATTGCATCTCGTTAGGAGTGATCGGGCCAGACCACCGAAGATCGAGGCCATGGAGGGTCGATATCGCCTCCGCTACGATATGAGGAGGGATGTATTCTCTAGGGCATACTTTCTGTTTTTTATAACAAGAAGTTTAGAGAGACGATGATAGCAAGGAAAAACTAATAACGTCAAGATATGATTTTTACCTTAACAACCATACTGTTAGGTCTGGCGTGTGTGAGTGAGGCTTTGAGTATTGTGTTGAAGGATGGTTCATCATAAACTTTTCCTCCAAAACCCTAAAACAGGAGAAATATTTTGAAAAATTGATCAAAACAAAATGGAAACTTAGATGAGAGATTTACTTCATTTGATTCCAATACCTTAGCTTCAGTGAGAAAAACAGTCTGTTCTTCAATATTTCTGCCCATGGTTCCTGTAATCTCCACCGCTCATGAACTAGAGACACCAAGTTATTTGTTTGAAGTTGTGGGGTGGCTAAAATAAGACGGAAGCAAAGCTCACCTAAGTTCCCAAAGACAAGAGGATGTCTGAAATTAGGGGTGTTATGATATTTAGAAAAAGGGCAATGACAAGTAGCAGCTATAATAACAGTGACAATGACAATGGAAATTTACAGCAGCCTGAAAAAACCATGTGGCATAAAAAAAAAAAGAGGAAGAATTTTATAGTAACATATCACTACAACTGTGGTTCACTTTTTCTTGTATGTAATTTGTCCAGGACATCGGCCAATCCTTGGGTTTAAAAAATATATAACCAGATTAGTACAAGGCTATGGTTCACGATATTGTAAATGCCAACTAACGGCATAAACATATCATTTTGAGAGACAAACTTTCAAGTTCCCTAGAACAAAGAAAGGTATTTTCCTGCGTCTAATTTGATCATTGTTCATTATTTTCTCTTTTAATGAAAAAAAAGGATTTTTTTTTGGTGGTGGTGTG